CTCTCTCTCTCTCACTAAATATATCAATATAAAGAGAGATATCCAAAATCCTTGCAGAATATCGAAAGTCCTTACAAATTCCTTGCATATCTTTATTACTGCATTTTAGTTTCTGAATAATCGGATTACTTGCAAATGCAGTAATTACTGGCAAATTGGCATCACTGCAAGGCAGGTAGTAGGCTTCCAAACGACAAATTCGACAGTGTTGCCACGAGTTCACTTGTAACGAACTGTGCCGATTTATATGGTAATGACAAATATTTTCGAAGTGAATGTGGCACTAGTTTAGGTTCTGAAATGTTTGATGTCTATTTTAACCTCATGATAGAGGTCATAACTTCATGCTGTTGAATGTAATTTGTTAGTTTTGAAGTTCCGCACAGCATTGGTGATATTAAAGAATTATCACGGATTCAATATGGCAACGTCCATATCCACATCGTGATCTTAGAATGCTCTCATTCACCGGCTTCATTTAATGAGGTAAATAACTGAGTCCATTTATTTTTCTACGTCCATGATGTAAACTCACTTGTGACTTGTCATACTGTTCATTCAATAGTATTATCTTATTTTCAGATTTGAAACAGGAGCTATTAGTCAGAGAAAAGGGGAAGATCCCAGATAATGAACGAATATTGAATGGATACAAAAATTCTGTGGTAGATTCAAATCGACTGAGGGAAAACGAAACTCAGACCAGTCCAATGAAAAGTAAGAAAAAAAAAGTCAATAAAGCATTCAAAGCATTCTCAGCTATTTGCAGTAAACTGAAAAGAGACTAATCCTTTCCTTTATTTTCTTATTCTTCCTTTATTCTTCTGGTGTTTTTTGTATTCAATGTGTTGATTGTCTTAGTGGTATGACTGTAAAGCATGTTGGCAGTAATAAAAAAAAACAATTGTGTCTTCACATATTGAATTAATAAGTAGGTACTCGATAATTGATTACTGCTGAGAGATGCCAATTCATCAAAATATTTCTTATCAATTTTCTGTATGGTTCAGATTGGTCTGCAAATAACAACTTTCAAAGTATAATGTATTCTGTCATATATGAATTCGACTCTAAAATTCAATATTTTAATTTTTACTTCATGACGTATGATACAGAAGAGAATTCCTCTAAAACTAAAACCTACATGGGTTTTATTTTGTTCATCCATTCACATGATCAGTTGCATTGTTTTTGCATGAATTAAAAAATTGTGGACATTGCTTGCTTTGCTCTCTCTTTGTGAAATTTCTCTGCTTTTTAATCATAAAATTTCCAACGCTACTATCTGAGTTTCTTGAGTGTTTTTTTTAAATTCTTATGATAGATGAAAACAACTTGGTATACATTAAAAAATAGAATTGATTACAGTCAGTCAAATCAGTCACTAACACAACATACTGACTTCTATTATGAGCTGATAGTCTTGAACAAAAGGAAATTGCTTCCTATTTATTGATCTTCTGTTAGGACGCTATAAAATGTACAGAATTTGAGAATTCAAAAATGAATCAGGCCAAAAAATATTTTAGATTCTGTAATGTTCACTGTGATTTAACTTTGAAGTAGGATAAAAGTGATTGTAATTTGTAGATGAAATTATATTTAATAAACCAGTTTGACTCTTATGTTAGTTTCAATTGATTTTAGTTTTAGTTGAGCCTTGTTGGAACTAGCATGTTAACCATTTGCATGTGCTTTTTTGGTGTTTGGTTACCCGTGAATGTTGATGGTATTTCAATGTAAATACAAATCTTGTTCTTTCAAACAAAACCGAACGTTGGTATATTTCAGATGACTTCCAAGCTCCAATTTCACCGGCATCCAGGGTTATGGCCTTAAATATAGTTAGCGATCTTATTAGGAAAGTTGGTGTAAGTAATTATTATTTTTCCTTGTTGCTGGATTCTTACGCACATGCAATAGAAATAATATACGCCCTGCATAGATATATGAGAGACTGTGAAATATAGTATATGTACTCCAAGTGATCTCCATCCTTTTTGTATGAGCTACCGACGAGAAATATAATTTATACTTTTACTTTACACATCAGACATATTAACTTGAAGAACGTTTGATCTATTAGCAAGAGCGACAATTTATGTAATTTTAAATTTTGAACATCAACCGTCTTACACATTCTATCTTTGAGGGTTTTTATAGATCAGATGATTGAAAGGTGGTTATGAAATGTTTTCTGCCACTACATTTCGTGAATATTTACTTATTCATCAATTTCTATTTTTCCACTTCAAAGTAGTCTCCCTCAGATATGATACACTTGTGCCAACGTTTTTCCAACCTTCAAAGCACTTCTGATATTCACTTTTTGGTATCTTCTTGAGCTCTCAGCCACTTGGTTTTTATCTCCTCCATAGTCGCAAAATACCGTCCTCTCATGGGTCTATTCAATCTTGGGAACACGAAAAAGTCGCAGGGGGGTAAATCTGGTGAATACAGTGGTTGAGGCATGATTACAGTATTGTTTTTGGCCAAAAAATTATGAACAACCAATGATGAGTGGTGAGGGGCATTATCGTGATGCAAAAGCCACGAATTGGTTTTCCACAACCTCAAGATAATACTCCTTATTGACCGTATGACTATGTGGCAAAAACTCCTGATGCACTACACCACGGTAATTGAAAAAAATAGTTAGTAAAATCGAACTTGGCGTGCTTTTTTGGTCGTGGCTTCCCCTGGACTCTCCCATTAGCACGATTGGACTTTGGTTTCAATGTCATAATCATATACCCATGATTCATCATTAGTTATGACCCTTTTAAGCAAATCTGGAGAGCTGTCGACGGATTTTTTGTAAAAATTCAGCAATTTTGGAATGAACTTTGTGTTCGGTTGTGTTCTGTGGCTTGTACCACTTGTAAACCTTCCGACTCGGGGTACAATCATCGTATGCCATTGTCAACTTTTTGACACTTGATTCCATTTTTTACACAAAATTTGATGGAATTCTTTGATACATTTTTTCGATAGCAGCAAATCACGGAACATGCAAAATACTTCTAACTTTTATGCTTCTCATCAAAAAACTAAACATAATATACATCTGAAACTGTGAACATATTTTCGAAATGAGTGTACCAACATAAAGACAAAAAAATCGGGAATCAAATGTACGTGGCCCGCGAAATTTGAAAATTCACCTTATTTTTTTACAGTCCACTCATTATTTATTCTAACCTGTGGTAGAAGTCCATTATATCTCGAAGGGGAGTGTAGTAGATTTATGATGCAGAATAACTCAAAGTCGTCTCCACAATTTAATATCACGAGTGTCAGACCCAAATTGGTTTTTACTATCGAAACCGAAAACGAATTTCGGCAACAGTTTCAGTTTCGGTCGAAACCAAAACTTCCTTACAAGGATTATGTTTTGAAGGAAAAATAAAGAAAACGTTATTATATTTAATCAGTTAGTCTTTATTTTTTTATCTTTAAATCACAACGTTATGCAGTCTTCGACATTTTTACTTATTGATAATCAACATAAAAATTCCTTATTTAAGAAAAAATATTAATTGCACCTTAAAAATACTTAAAATAGGTGAGGTGTTTATTTGAGTAGGTGCAGATCCTTCTTTTGAATATTTTTGATGGGTTTTCAAAAATATTAAACATAAAATTGCTTATTTGAGTTGTTACCTAATATCACTTGTATGAAATTTAACGAGCCGAACATGACCGATCACAGCGCGGGAATTCCCGAATGCAGTTTCGGCTTCGGTCGTAGTTTCGGCAGGTTTGCCACCGAAACTGAACCGAAACCCGTTTTTTTGCCGAAACTCGACTGAAACCGAACTTTCGGCCGGACACTAAATATCACGGTGAAACCATCAGTCAGTACAAGTTTCGAACCTATATAGGTTTATTTTTGTAGAATTTTCAACAAATTAGCTGAGGAGGAACCCATATAGGTTCGAAACATGTACTGATTGATGGTTTTACCGTTCTAACATCTAAGGGTTGTGGAGACGACTTTGAATTTTTCTGCATCATAAATATTATTAAATAAATTTCCATCTAGGAAAAGTACTAAACAATCTGATACCACAGTACTCAGATATGATATGTTCTGAGGATTTTGCCGTGAAATATGCTTATTCAGTGTAATAAATATTAAATCTGAAGAAATGAACTTTAAGCGTTCAAGCCAGTCTCGGATATACCTACACAGTAGGTTGAATGGACTAACGCCTACTGTCCCACTGACTAATAAGAAAGTTTTTCTTCCTTATTCCGAGGAATCGGGCAAATTTCTGATATGCATTTGGTTAGTACCTCGTCCACTAGATGGAGTGACATTTTGTTGTTCGCTTCAAGTTTAGGAAGAGGATTGAAATACTCTGAAAGAATTCCGATTTTCATTTATGGAATATCATTGACTTTAGGTCGATGATGGCCACTATCTTGCACTGATGAGTGGCTAATAAGCCCGAAACCGGTCTGCAAGTGTGCCCGTTCCAAAATTGAGGGTCGACTTTTCAATTGTATTGCCAATTGCATATGCATGCTGTGAAAATTCCTGCACTGACGCCTGTCAGATATAATCCAACACCATTCGTAGTATTAGACAGGGAAGTAGTTGTTTTCTGATAGGCGTCAGTCCATTCAACTTACTGTGTACGTATATCCAAGACTGGCTTGAACGTTTAAAGTTCATTTCTTTAGATTTATTTACTGCCAGTCTTCAAGCATAGCCCACTGACTAATAAGTAATAAATATTTTTCAGTTTTACAATAAACAAATGTAGGAAGCTCTTCATCATCAAAATTTGATATTCTTATCTAGGTTGATATAAAGAAAAACCATTGTTTCCAATGATAGAATTGAAACTTCTGGTGTAGAAGTCCAACTAAAATACTTTTCCACATAAGTTGAGAATAATTTTGCAGTTCTTGTGTGTTGGAGGTCTTTTTGTTGGATTGAGCCAGAATATAACGCAAGTATGCAACAAAAAAGATGTCTTAATATTTTCAACTGATTTCTATGTATTTAGGTGTTCTGAAAACTAAAAAATTACTTAGAAAATTCCACAACGTCAGGTTATTTTGCAGAACGCAAAATTGTATTATGAAAAAGGGGTTTTTTAGGCTAACTTGAACACATAGGTACAATTTTATTTTTTTACTGTTTTCGAATGTATACAGGCCCTAACTATCATTACTTTTTAAATAAAGAACGTCCTGTGCCCTACTTTGTCCAAGTTATTGTACCAATATTGAGGGTTTGATCAAACCATTTAATATCTCATATGACCCAGCACTGTGGTGTATTTTCATAGATGTTTCAAAAAGTAGCCCTATAGCAGTTCTGCTTTACAATGGCAGTTTATATGCCTCCATTCCTGTTGGTCATTCCGTACATATCAAGGAAACCTACAAGAACCTGGAAAGTGTTTTTTGCAAATTAAAATATATAGACCACAGTTGGCAAGTGTGCTGTGATTTAAAAATCTTGGGCATGTTGCTCCGACAATATTCTGGGTTTACAAAATTCCCCTACTTTTTGTGTATGTGGGATAGTAGAAACCGAGCAAATTATTGAACCATTGGCCTTTGAGGTAGCTTAATGTTGGCGAAAAGAATGTCTAGCTTGAAACTTTGGTGGCTCCTCATAAAGTTCTACCATGGCTTCACATAAAGCTCGGATTGATGAATCAATTTGCAAAGTCAAATCAAATCAAAATATGCTTTATTACCCAAGATCCGAGCATCTTATTGGCAAAGTCTAGTAAAGTAAAATGTATATATAAGACATTAAATTAACAAATACAAGCTATAAAATAATGTTTAGAGACAAGAGCAGCATATATGGACAGAATAATATCAAGCCCAGCTGAACAGATACAAATATAACTACATGAATATTGATTAAGCGTAAATATATAATGCTAGGTAATGAACATTGATAGCCATTTCATATTAATTTCAATAACTTGTTAACATAAAGCTACATGCCAATGTGGATAAGACACACTGTTCCCAAAATAAAAAGACATACTAAGGTCAGAATTTTCTGCTTCACAAATAATGGGCTAGTAGAAACTGAGCAAATTATTGGACCATTGGCCTTTGAGGGAGCTTAACGTTGGCAAAAAGAATGTCTAGCTAGAAACTTTGTTGCCTCCTCATAAAGTTCTACCACGGCTTCACATAAAGCTTGGATTGATGAATCAATTTGCAAAGTCAAATCAAATCAAAATATGCTTTATTACCCAACATCTGAGCATCTTATTGGCAAAGTCTAGTAAAGTAAAACGTATATATGACATTAAATTAACAAATACAAGCTATAAAATAATGTAGAGACAAGAGCAGCATATATGGACAGAATAATATCAAGCCCAGCTGAACAGATACAAATATAACACATGAATATTGATTAAATGTAAATATATAATGCTAGGTAATGAACATTGATAGCCATTCCATATTAATTTCAATAACTTGTTTACATAAAGCTACATGCCAATGTGGATAAGACACACTGTTTCCAAAATAGAAAGACTTACTAAGGTCAGAATTTTTTGCATCACAAATAATGGGCGGCTTGAATCCCTATAGCTAGCCTTGCAAAAATATCTGATGGCTCTTTTTTGTACAGAGAATACCATATTGAAACGAAATTGTGCACAATTTTCCCCAGAAACGAATTCCATAACGTATATAGGACTCAATTTGTGCAAAATAAACTGATCTTGTAATAGTAGTATCTAACTCTCTTGCAACAACTCTCACTGCATGGCATCCTGCTGCTAGTGTTTTACATAAATAGTCGACATTGTAATCAAATTTTACATTTTCATCAATGAAATTTTTACTTTTTCCAACTGTACTTCCCCTATGTTAC